GTGCGTACCGTCAGTGGGAACTTGCCAAAGGTCCTCAGGCAGCTCCTTCCGACCCCTCGATCCCCTTCCATCTGGAAGGACAAGGGGCAGCAGATACATGGGGAACACCCACCCCGATGCCAGCTCCCACTCCGAGCCCCTCCCCATGCCAACTCGGAAATATAGCGGGCCGTTCCTTCAGGGGTCAAAATCCCGGAATTCCTGCCCTAAAGGAATTGTGCGGGAAGGAATAGTTTGGCCCCTCCTTCGGTAACGCTGGGATCAAAATCCTGGGATTCCCGTCCCGTGGGCGGACCCACAGCGCCGCGGGAGTGCAGCGCTTCAAGATGGCAGCTCTGCTCCCCCGCGCCAACTTCTCAAGGTTGTAGGGGCGGCAATTAAGGACGGGGTGCGACCAATTTAAAAAAAAACCGTCATCCTTCAGTGAGACCCCGCGCCCGAGACGATTACCGGAGCAGATGACGCCCGCGTCCTCCTCGTGGTGGCAGTTGTGCTGCCCCCAGTGGCGGGACGGGCACTGCCAGAGGAAGACCTCGGTGCCGCGGCAGTCCAGGTCGTCCAGGGCGATGGGCCCGCTCCCTTTGCCGAAGTAGGCGTGGGTCATGGCGAAGAGGGCGGTGCCGCAGCGCAGCTCTCGGCAAACCACCTGGGCGTCGGGCACCTGCCACTGGTCATCGCACACGGTGCCCCAGGTCTTGTTGTTGAGGATCTCCACCCGACCAGAGCATGGGCTGCTCCCGTTGACCAGTCGTATTTCGACCCTGTCTGCCGGAGGAAACAGACAATCACCGCGTCAACAAGTTGTTCATTTCCGTGTAAGTTACAAGCTTGGTGTCCGACATCGGCCATTGGCGGGGTTCAGGGGTCACGTCCTCCACGCGATAAAGCTCTCAATTCTTGTTCAAGTTACAAACTTGGTGCGGACGTTCGGTTGTTGGCAAAGGCTGCGATGCTCGATGGGCGGGTTAGGGCGGGTTCACCGCGCTAAATTACCCACAGTGCCCCAGGGATGTGCGGGTTAGGGCGGGTTCGCCGCGCTAAATTACCCACAGTGCCCCAGGGATGTGCGGGTTAGGGTGGGTTGTCCGTGCTAAATT